ATATTATTATTATTATTAGCACTAGAACAGTAGGCGGAAAAGTCCGATTATGCTGGATAATGCACGAAACGTGTTGTTGTCTTCTAGTTCCTTATCCAGCTTATTCTTGAATAAATTGACAGTTGTTTCACTCACCGTTTCTTCACTAAGAGAGTTCCACACGATTTGAAATGAAATTTTTTCTTATCAACTTAGATGTTCTGTCGTTCTCTAATTTTTCTGGCATTCCTCGGAGATGAAGGTTCTGACTCATATTGGATATTTGAAGGGCTTTTGAGTAGCAGCCACTGATGATCTTGAATTTCTCAGTTAGGTTCCCTCGTTATCTTCGCTCAGCGAGTGTTGTCAAATTCATAGCCCTTCATATGGCAAACGTCGAATCTCTGGTGGAATTCGCATTATCTCTCCATTAGTTCGATAACTTTGACAAAATAGGGACTCCATACGCTGCTTTTATTATAGCAGGAAATGGTTTTTAACAGCTTTTTCAATCAAATATGTCAGTGAGTTGGCTTTTTTAATTTCGGTGGTAATGTGTGGTTTCCATTTTGAATTATGTGCTATTATAAATAACTCTATATTCTTTTTCTCAGACCACTCCTTTATGGCGAGTATGCCCTTTTTAATTTCGATCTCTTGTTATGCAGGGTTTCTGAAAAGCTTGCTATCGTCGGCATAGAATGAAATGTTTGTTTTATATCCAAGTACAGAACCTTGTGGAACACCACTCAGCACCGGGTCTGGGTCACTTAGAACGTAACTTAGAACCCCATTTGCTCTTACTTGGAAGGTTCGGTCCGTAACAAATGCCGCTATAGAACCTAAAACTTGCATCGTATGTACACCAAGATGCTCAAGTTTATAAATCAAATGTTTATGGGGAACTTTATCAAAAGCTTTTTGGTAATCAATGTATACAGGGTGATTCTCAAGTCGTGATAAAAAATGGAACATCTTACACAGGGCCGCATTTTGAGGTGCGTCTCCTATGTAACATTTTTTCCTTGAGGGCTTCATTATAAGAATACTTTAAAGTTTAAAAATAAAAAAAAAATAATGTCTTCAAAACCGTCAATAGGAATAGGAACTAAAATTTGGTATGTGACTTTACCTGAGTATTGTCCACATTCAAAAGTCTTTACCCAAAATTAACGTGCAGCAGTAGCGGAGATACAGGGGATTAGTAGCATTATTTTTCCAAATAAAAATACTACACCACTGTTTTTTTTCGTAACGCGCAATTTTTACAGATTTGATTTGCTACAAATAACTACTCTTGCGTTTATCCCTTGAGTGCATTTTTTTCGTAAAAATAAAAAAAAACAAATTAGATAATCGAAACTTTATTTCATAAATGTTCAAAAAGACCACCATTCTGACGGATGCAAATGCGGCATCTTTTTAACAAAAAAAAACGTATTTCCGCAAAATTTGTTGTGGCTTGAATTTGATGAAACGCATTATCTAGTCTTTCTTATAACTGATCAGCAGTATTAATTTGTTCAGCATATTATACTAGTTGTTTAAAAGCGTCCCACAAAAAAAATCCAGGAGGTTCAAATCAGGCCAATGTACGGGTCCGTTTCTGCCAATCCATCGTTGTCTAAAACCATTATTTAACCATGCGGTTATGTCAAGACGAACATGCGGTGGTACCACGTTGCTAACGGGACATCTTCTAACACATTTTCCATGTAATTCTCCAGCAAATCTCAGTAGTAGTTTGCATTTAAACGTTGTGCATAAACAGTTGACCTTTGAAAATGCCCCACTACACATTTCTAGAAAATCTGGGGTGCGAGTGGATTCTTACAGAACGGGGATTTTCCAACGACCAAATATGTTCATTGTGAGAATTAAAGGTTCCACTCCTCGTAAAAAGCGATTCATCTCACCACAAAACCAAATCAATAAAAATCTGCAATTTAAATATGCATTTGCAGTAACCACTCACAAAAATTTCGCCGTTGCACTCCGTCGCCGGGCTACAAATATTGCACATTTTGCCGATGGTAAGGATGTAAAACTTCCCATTTAAAATTCTCCACGCAAGACTTTGGGAACATGGTAACTTGGCTGCAATCTGCCTAGTACTTGTACTAGGATCATCCAACGCCAAATTAATCACTTTCAGTTTGAATGTGAACAATACTCAGGTAAATCCACATACCAAATTTTAGTTCATGCCAGTTGACGGAAGACCCCTCTAAAAATGCAGTCCTGTGTGTAATGTTTTATTTTTGGTCACGACTTGTGAATCACCCTGTATTATATCTATGAGATTTCCTTTGTCACCCACAAATTCTACCAATGACAACGCATATTTGAAGTAATGGACACAAAATAAATATGATCGATTTCTCGTAAAATGTCTCTCGAACTAGAAAATAATAATAAAATAATACGGTTTGCGTAAGATGGGCCCTTAATTCCCGTATTTAATCAATAAATACGTCATAAATGACTTGGATGTTGCAAAAGCTTATTTTAGATGGAGCACCAACAGTTTTAAGAGCCATTTTCTATAAACTAAAATTATGCTCGTCGAACAATTTATATAGAGATAGTATGCAACTTTATTTCTTACATGCCACCGGCTTATACCATAAACATTGTAATGAGCAAAATTCGCATAAACACGAGCATGACACGACTTCAAATAAGCTCATCAATTATCCAAAGCTCGCACAAAACATTATTCAAAAAATCATTCAAATTCTTAGCAGCTAAATTATACAAAATGGTACCTAAATAAGTGAGGACATTTAAATTTGGAAAAAAATTAAACGGAAATTAAAAGATTGAGTTTGTACTGTGGAGCGAATGACCATACATATTATATAGAGAATTAAAATCTCAACATTCAACATTATGCAAATACCTTCTAGAACTAATTATATTTGTTATACACATATAATTTTTGTTCTTGGTAAGATATTATACAGAGTGTCCGCAAAGTTGGGTTTTCCTTTACATGACTTGAGAAAATAAGCGGATTTTCTTAGTAGCATATACACCAATGTCTTGAGAGAACCGAGATATTGGGCTCCGAAACCTGAACAAAACCGAAGCCGGTGCTGTCCTATCCCTCGATCACGTCCATAGCGCCAGCGCACAGTTATACGACGTACGACTACGATGTAAATACGGATCCTACGACAGAGCCGTACTTGAAATTTCAATTGAACTGAACAGTGAGTACTTTTCCATTTATGTTTTTTTACTTGTTCGCTCACGTTTCACAACACATTAGCTTTGTTATATCAAGCGTACGAGCCCTTTCCCACTTCAGTTGGCCCACTTTAAGATTTTTACCAAAATATGCCTTTATAAACTAAACATGACGAAACTATTTACTTCTAAAACAATTTATTTTCTCAAAAACATTTTAGATACACTCTAGTCGTAAAAAATACATATTTGAAATCACTTAGACCTATAACTAATAGAACATCTGAACAAATAAACATTGTGCGAATAAACGCGCGAAGTTAACAAAGCAACAATTGAAAGATTACCATTGGGTAACATCACCTTTATTTTTTATTACGGCTGAAATTCTTTGGGGCATAGTGTTAACCAAGTTTTGGCAGAAATTTGGTGTAAAAAAATCCCATATTTCTTGAAGCTTTTGTCTCAATTCGGTGATTGTACGAGCAGGATGTTGTAGAACCTTTTTCATCTCGTGCCACAAAGTTTCAATAGGTGACAGATCTGGACTGCTATAAACCCATTTCAAAAGTGGTACATTGTTTTCTTCCATCCATTTTATAGCCTTTTTTGAGGTATGGCACGTTGCACCATCTTGCTGAAACACAAAATCTTGGCCGGATGTCAAACATTCATCCATCACTGGTAAAAGCGATTCTTCTAAAATTGCCAAATATGTATTTGTATCCACATTTCCATCAATAAAATGAAGTTTTCCTACTCCTTTTGATGACATACTGCCCCAGACCATAATGGACAAACACAAACTTCGAATCGGGCCTCATCACTCCATTGTATTGCACACCATTGTTGAGGTGTCCATTGTCTATGTTCTTTAGCCCATCTAAGCCGACTTTTCTTTTGCAGTGGAGTTAATAGTGGCTTTTCTTTGGCCTATAAACAAGTTGTGCAACTTTATGGTTTTTACTTCACTTTTTTTTTATAAGAAAACTTACCTTGCAAGTGCTAAATCCCAGTTTGTGGGCCTCTCTATGAGTTGTGGACCTCGAAATTCTCCTTCCAACAGCGTCACTTCACAGCGCACTTAATTGTAAATAATTGGCACGCCTGTTTTTCACGATTTTTGTTCTTAATGCTCTTCGGTCGGCATTTGTGATATTACTTTTTTCACATATCGTGGCTTAATATTAACTGAACCAGTTACGTTATATCCTCTAACAATATTTCTCACACTGTACCGCGATAAGTCTAACAAAGTTGCAATTTCCGAGTTTGATTTCCCAGAATTAAAAAATTTAATTATCAGTAACGGAATTTTCTCACTAATAACCTTTCCTCTACCCATTTTGAAAACCTTAACTACCCAAAACTATTTTAAAAGTATTCTGACAGCTGTGATTAATAAAAACAATTGTCATGGCTTTTATTTTTCACAGCCACCTATGCGTTATAGACTTATTTTGCATTGAAATGAAAATAGGTTGATATGCTTTAATTGCAACATGTGTTATTTTTATGCTGCAAATTTGATTAGGGAGTGATAAAGTTGGTGCTTTCTACTATATATTATCCAAATATTCATTGTTAATATTTTAAACCTATAACACCCTGCTACATTTTTATTATTTGTTTTTGATAAGAAAAAAACTAAGATTTCAATAGCTGGGCCAAATGAAGTGGGAAGGGGCTCGTAGTTGCGTCTGAAAAGGAAAACCCCAACTTTGTGGATACCCTGTATGCGATGCCTTGTGCGGAGTTTCCATAATTATTTACCCATTTTTAAACACCTTTATATTTTGGCGAATAATTGTTATTATTATTTCCGTTACCTAATTCGAAGTTTGATTCAGCATCCTCATGTATGGTTTCCATGTCTCCATTGTTGTGACGTCACTACCGTTTTCGAGACTTCTGTCTGCCATTCGATGATGAAGGAATCACTAACACGTAGAAAACTGACGGTCTGTCTCTGGTCGGGCGATTTTTCACACATATAACCATTTTTCACCACTACTGGACGTGTGACCGTGGCGTTGTTTGGAGTATTTTAATAGAATATTCTATGTTGTTTTCGAACAGTAGTTTCAAAATTTAAATAACATTATTGGTTTCGATTTTGGTTTTCTATATTTAGAGTCGTTGTTTCTACTAGATAATAGAGTATGCATATACAGAGTGTTTCCTAAACATGAGCTACTCTAATATCAGTACTATTTTGCCTTTGAAGATTTTCGAAAAACCGCTGCGCTTCAAATAAGGAAGAACAAAATATAGTAAAATTGCACATTAGTTTTGCAAGCTCTTAATCAAAAAACTTTTTAAAATATCGCCAGCTATTTATTAAATTGTCGACCTCTTTAAAAATTTTCCATACAATACACTTGAGTATATTTACTTTTCAACAGAAACTTAGGAGTGCAAGGCAGATGGCCTAGTCGATTACCTGACTTAAACCCCCTTATATTATCGATTTATGGAGAGTACATTCTGGCATTCTAAGGCCAATTCCTGAAAACCAGGTGGACGTAGTTCTAAAACTTGTCGAAATTCTTTCCAGCAGCTTTTGATGTTTGGTGAACTAAATAATTTCGAGGATACATTCATTTCCGGAAAAATCATAGATTTCTAGGTTTTTCTTATTCACAGCGCCGGGCCTAGAGATTTCGTCACCCCAGGAAAACTGAAATTTAGTGTTTCCTTAAAGAATATTTCGATTTCAATGAGTTTGGGGGTTGTGAATAAAGAACTTCCGATTGGAAGGGAAGGCATAATAACGTGTCCCCTATCTCCGGGGAAACTAAAAAAATGTAATGAAAGAAAAACGAAATGTATTAACTTCAGCAGTTTTAACATTTAGAAAAAACAAAATTCATCAAAAACTAAAACAACATGGAATAAAAAATTGAAGTAGTCCAACACCCATGAGGAAAAACAAAATTTACCAAAATCTAAACGTTTCAGCGGTTTAACAATCAGAGGATGAGGAATACGAGGTCTTTTAAGTTTTGCATATGGAAATAAAACAACACGGTAGGTAGTTTTAAATGACTTTATCGTTTTTCGAAGTATTCTCCAGGAAGATTAATACACATCTAAATGCGCTCGAACCAATTTTCGAAGCACTTATTCGTTTGCTGGCAGATCCAAAACGGCATTTTTGAATGTGTCAACTGCTTCTTCTGGTGACTGGAACCTTTAACCACGCAGTTTGTTTTTAATTTTCGGGAAAGTAAAGAAATCGTTAGGACTTAGATCGCGACTATATGGAGGATGGTCCAATAATTACACGTTTTCTTCCGTTAAATACTGCCTTGTTTTTTGGGCTGTGTTGCAAACAAATGGTGGTATACCAATCCGCAGAAACAGTTCTTTGCTCATTACGAGGAATTGTTGCTATATGACCCGCTTTTGACACCAATGTCGCGGTCATCTTTTTCGAAACACGAGAACGGATGACTTGCCGGCTTTTCTTCACCTTGGAACACCCAAACAGCCGACTGTTCTTCTGGTTGATAACAGTAAATCTACAATTCATCACCACTAACAATGCTGTACACATTTTTTGAGTTTCCGGAATTGAAACGGTCAAGCGTTTTTTGACACCAATTAACCCTGGCTGCTTTCTGCTCTTCAGTCAACAGGTGGGGTAGCCAACAAGAAACTAATTTTCTTACTCCTAATTCTTCATGTAAATTTTTTTGAATTGAGGTCTTTGAGATGTTCAAGGACGCCTCAATCTCGCGATATGTCACAGTCTATCTTCAATGATGAGTTTGCGCATAGCATCGACGTTTTCCTGGGTGGCTGCCGTTTTTGGTGCACCCACCCTGGGATGGTCGCTAAGAAACACCCGTCCAAGTTTGAATTCTACATACCAACGAAAAATTGTCGACTGATGTCAGCAAGGCATTCTTGTTGCGATAATTGTCTCTGAAAGTTGTAATAAATTATGGCGCGAAAATGCTCTCGGTTGAGTTACATTTTTCTAATGACTTGGTGACACTTGCAAATTCACTGTAGTGAGAACAATGCACGTATTGTTGTAAAACTTTGAATTTAGGTTTACTAAAGAGTAAGGTTAAGATTCAGTACTGACGTTCGATCCGCGCGGCCTACTATGTTTCTAGGTGCAAAGGTTAAACAAGGCTATACAGGGTGTTTTCAAAGATGAATTATTTATTTTAACCGCTTGTAGAAGTTAATTTATCAGAAATCACCTATATAAAAGTTGCATAATAAAAGAAATAGTGAAAGATTAGAGTTTTCAAAAAATGAGAATGATATTACACAGATTATTTGATATTTTCGACCGGCCGTGTAAAATGTATGCGTTTTTTATTGACTACTCTTATCGTTTATCTAAATTTGGAAAACTTTTTGTGTCATTGTATGATTTTCAGTACGCGTCTTTGGTTCGATCAGTTGTGTCAGTCTTTTAATTGTCATTTAGGTTTTTCAGGCTGTTGAGCCGGGGCCGGGTTGGATTTGATCCAGAGCTTTCGGCTACATCTGCGGTAGCCATGTTCAGTGGCGCTGTCTTTTAATTGTGCATATACTTTCATTTGTCTGATTATTTTGTGGCCCATGTTTACGAAAACAATGGGCTACTGGACATAATACTAACATACGGAGAGTGCTAGCAAAATGCAGCCGCAGCATGCAGGTTGTATGCGGAAAGCTTTCCTTTAATAAATCATCCGGCCTCACGGATGTTTGTAAATTTTGTTATTAAACTTGACACAGTATATTTGAAAGAATAACGAGGAGGTCACGCTGGAGCACCTGCTCAACCTGAAATGTTGATGACGACCCAATGGTGAGTGCTAGAGCGATAGCAGCTCAAGTTAAAGTTTCTCACAGTAAAGAGTGGAAGACAATACGGCAAGAACAGTATTAATCCTTATCTTTATCAATGGGTACAGGCGTTACAACGTCAAGATCATCCTAGAAGGGTTGCATCTTGCCAGGGGCTTTTAGAAGAGTTCGACAGAAATTTTACGAAATCAATTTTGTGTACAGACGAGGCCACATTTACACGAAAAGGAGTGCACAACGATCATGTTGGAGCAGTAGAAAATCCGCATGCTGTAAAAAGTATTCATTTTCAACATAGATTTTCATTAAATGTGTGGGCTGACGTGGTAAATGGCATGCTTATTGGACGCTACCTTTTTTCACCTCGTCTGACCGGTGAAATTTATTTAGATTTTCTTCGACTCAATCCGCCACAATTATTAGAAGATATTCCTGTAGACTGACACAGAATATGTGGTTCCTACATGATGGGGCTCTACGACATTTTAGAAGAGAGCTTCATGAATATCTAAATAATGAGTAGAATAGATGGATAGGACGCAACGGACCCATTTCTTGGCGTGCTTGCTCTCCGGATATAAAGCCTTGTGATTTTTTTGTGGGTTATTTGAAAGAGTTGGATGGAAAAACTTCAACAATGTACTGAAAATGCTTGTGATTTAATTTGTGGACACCAAGATTTTATTTTCGAAGATTGTAAAGAGTTCTGCATTCTCCGAGCAAGATTTGGCGTTCATCGAACAAATGGGGACAATTTTGAACAATTTTTGTAGAAACAGTATTCATTTAACTTGATAACGATTTTTTTAAGTAATTTTAATAAAGTAAACAAACTTTTATATAGGTGATTTTTTGGTATATCAACTTCTTTTGACGAGTTCTACAACCTGTTAAAATAAATGACTCAACTTTGAAAATACCCTACATTTAGCTAAGAAAAGTACAGTAACCTGACTGTTATTAAAATCTGAACATAGTACGGAGCTACAGGCGGTTAGGCTGGTGGAACGTGTAACCAGAGGATTCACCCTTAACGAAAGTACTGGCATCTTGCTTTTGGATGTCTTAAAAGCATTTGACAAGGTGTGGCACGCGGGCCTCTTGTATAAACTAATCCAAAAGGGCTTCCCTTTTTGGCTTCTAAAACTACTGAAATCCTTCCTTGAAGGTAGAAAATTTCGGATCAAAATTGACAATGTTCTGTCGACAACACGGCTGATTACAGCCGGTGTCCCTCAGGGTTCGGTCCTTGGACCTATCCTTTACTCACTGTACATTCATGACGCCCCTAGTCCCAGCAACTGTGAAGTCTATCTCTATGCTGACGATACTGCATTGGTGGCTCAGTCGTGATCTGGTGACCTAGTCCATGACAGGCTGCAAAGTGCGGTGGAGGAAGTATTAGATTGAGCGGATCGGTGGCTAATTAAAATAAACCATTCGAAAACGCAGGCAATCTACTGTACAAAAAGACGTCGCGGCGTTCCGTCTGAAGTTTCAATGAATGGACTTCGTATACCATGGGAATCTCGGTGTCATTCTGGACAAAGGGATCACTTGGCGGAACCATATGGAAGCACTAAAAACTAAATTCCAAAGTACGTTTCGACAGCTTTACCCATTATTATTTAAACGTTCAAAATTAAGTTTGACTAACAAGATTCGACTCTATAAGGTGGTCATAAGACCAGCAATGACTTACGCATGTGCGGCTTGGTGTTTTATTACTAAAACACACATGCGAAGTCTGCAGGTTCTGCAAAACAGGACGTTGCGCACTATTGCTGATGCCCCATGGTATGTCTCTAACGAAACTCTACATAGAGACCTCGATGTCCCTTACCTAAAGGACTACATTAAGCAACAGGTGCAGCGGCGCTATAGCCTAGCGGAATCGCACAGCAACCCTCTGTTGCGTGAGTCAGTGGACTATACAGTCGAGCAAGTTCGCAAGCACAAAAGGCCGCGTCTCGTACTGTAATCAAAATTAACTCGTGAACTTAGAACAACCAAAATTGGAGCATTTTTACACAATCTTTAGAAAAAATCAAATATTTTTAGACCATATCAAAATCTGTGAAGTGATTTTAACAATACCTAAACGCTGCCTATCCTAAAAGATTCTCTTCTTCCCCTTTGCTCTCGTTCTTCCTTCTCTCCTTTCCTTCCCCTTTTTTCCTTAAAATTGTCTGGTTTCTGGGTTACCAGACCTGACAGACTTACAAACTGACATTGTGACTCAAGAGCTAAGGTCCCAAGGACCGCTCTGACAACCAACGATGACTTGACTGTTATTAAAAGAAACTAAAATGACTTTTATAATTTTCATTTCAGCA